CTCCTAAGTGGCTTATGGTCCCAAAGTCACTCATCCAGCCTTAGCCTTGGCAGGGGTTACACCTTCTGAAATCAGGCAGGGTGGTTCCCAACTAGTTTACCTAATTTATTTTTTCTAAGGACATGCCTTTATGAACCATCAAAAACTTGAGAAACTTACTTGTTTAAAGAAGGCAGACACTCTTTCAGAACAGGGCCTAGATAATGTTCCTTTACTTTTGTTATAGTTTTCAATATATGTTCCCTCTCCTCTGATTTTCCTCCCGGCAATTAAATATCACCATATGTGCCAATTCTCTGATGGAATAGTCTTTCCTTTCTGCCTCTGATTATATTAGCACCATCCACTGGGCAGGGGAGCAAGACAAAAGTGCATTCCCGTCTCCAAGGAGGCAGCTGGCCTGACCTGTCTGGAATCGATTAGTCAGAGCTGGTGTGAGGGCTCATCCTGCGGGCAGTGGCCAGGGCTGGGCAGGTAGAGGAAAGGAGTAAAGAAGCCCTTTGAACAGAATGGCAATAAGATTGAAATATCTGCATTACTTTTCTTCAACAATTAAAAATTATCATCTTTGAAAATGCTCTAAGTGGTAGCTTCCAGAAAATGGTTGAATTTCTTTCATATATATGTATATATGTGTGTGTGTGTGTATATATATATATATATATATATATATATATATATATATATATATATATAGAGAGAGAGAGAGAGAGAGAGAGAGAGAGAGAGACACTCACTGTGGGCTCTGGTAGCAGAGTCATTTCATTTCATGCTGGGGTTCTGGGTGCTAATCTTGAACATCAGCTCTCAGCTGCAGTTCGAAGTGCATTGAAGGCCAAGTGTTTCTTAGCTTTAATTGTGTCACCTTCCTGACCAGTCCCTCAGGTGCTTCCCCACCCAAAATCCACCCCTGGATGGCCCTGTCATCTTAACTGGGGTTTCCCTACAGAAGGTCATGTAAAGGATTTAGGTACATTTATTTCTTTAAGAGCTGACCCCAGAAAGCACGGGGGGAATGTGGAAGTGTGGCAGGGGAGGGAGGGAAACCAATAAAGGTTACATGAGTGAGCGGGTTCCAGCAACAGCAAGTGGGCTCCGGCCCACTGGGTACCCCCTAAAAGGGTGTGTTGAACAAGCTTTGGGTTTGCCCACCAAAGACCAGAAACTGCAGCGTGTACCCACCCCTGCCTGTCCCTCACTCGTGGTGTGTCATTCCTGAGGAGTTGACTTGTGGCTTCTGGTCTGGGACGAGAAAATGCTGGAGGGGTGCAGGTAGCTCCTGACCCAAAAGAGAACTGTCTGCAATAACCTTGTGCGAGTCAGGGGACATGGAAAGGTGGTCACCCTCAATCAGTCTGAGAATAGTGACACAGAGCCAGCCAAGCTCCATACCCCGTGGAGTCGAGTATGTGGTTTTGTGTACGCATTTGTGTGGTGTGAGCCTGGAGCTGTGGGGATCCATCATCCTTCATGGTGAGTGAGCAACCCACACAGGGAAACTCACCTCAGGAATGGGAATGACAAAGCCCAAAGTGTTGGGCACTGAATCACACAGGCCTCACCTTTGTGATTTAGAGATTACATCCAGCTTCCACACCTGCCAGGAGGCCCTCCCTCCTGTTTCCTGCTGGAAATACAGCCCCTCATCACTCAAGATACCGAAGCCCCAGCCTAGATTCATCTGCCCTTTTAAAAACATTCCTAATATGCCTGACTAGGTATTCCTTCACACATATGGCAGAGCTCTTGAAGATGGCACCTGGAAAGACTGACATGACAAATTTTAAAGAAAACATTAACCATGGATTTTGTGATCTTTTCTGTCTTGATTGTGTCGGTATGAGTTCTTTCCTGCGAGTGGAAAAGCTTCTGATAACCAAGGGATATGCGAGTCTCATTGTATATGCTCCTGTATATGTGCACACATCTCTGTGTGCACAACTTCAGCAAAGTCAAACCACTTTTAAGTTCTACATATAACCCACACATACAGAGATTAGTTTCATAAAGCATTTAGGATTAATGTTGTCACCTGACTGATACGAACATGTGTACAGGCTTTTTCTGTGTTCAGTAACACGAGAGCTGCTTGGAGATGTGGACAGTTCACACGCACACTCCCAATCTCACAAAGTGTTACATTAATCCAATATCCAAACTGGTTATTGGTTTTGCATCCTCACTCCCCGCAGCTTCCTGGCTATCCCTGTGGCCATTCCTTTTAAGAGTTTATGTATTTCGTTCTTCTGGCCAAGCTGCCCCTCGGTATCAGCCCGAGAGCACAGGGGCAGGCAGGCATGTGCTCTGAGGGCAGTGGGTTGGGTGGGTGTGTCCTGCTGCCAATTCCCCAGGTTTACAGGGAGTCATCTTAAAAAGACTGAGGGTGCGGGGCAGGTGCTGCTTGGGATCACCTATTGTTAGAATCTTTTCCCAACTCTGAGTTCAGTGACATCACCAATCAGTAGCATAAAACTGGGCATGGTGGAAGTATTAATTTACATAGAGGAAATCAGCACTATACATCTATACATCACACTATACATCAGTACCACACTCCTGGATGTCACCCCTCTCTGTCAACCATTTACCAGGATACCACTGGCGGTGGCCCTTTTGTATTCCAAGAAAAGGAAGCAGGCCCTTTTGCCAATGCTGTGGTGATCCCAGGGATATACTTATTGCTGCTGTAACCCCTGGTCTGGCCCTGGCACGCCAGGGCAGAGTGGCAGGCAGTATGGGATCCAGGCCAACAGGCCTGGTGTCCTGGGTGAGGCGCACCCCAGGGCAGACAAGACCACAGCTGTGTTTGCCTCCTAGCAGCTGGGTTTGTGTGGTGTGCAATTCCCACTTGCAGACTTATAGGTTTTGCCAAACCCCATCTGCCAGCCTACCTTTCCCTGGCCCCCTCATTTCTAAAGATACTTTAAATACCCACCACACCCGTACACTGGGCCAACTGAGAACAGAGGGAAAGTCCCAGAGGCCCTTCTCTGTGCAGTCCTGGGTGGGACAGGCCCACTGTCCTCTAAGAGCAACACCTCCTCCAGGACTCGGGAGCTCGAGCAGGGCTGGGGAGGCCCCGCCAAGGGATTCCTGCCAGCAGCTCTTTGTTATCATTTGGTTTAATTACCCTCTTAATTGAAGAGGGTAAGTTGCCTTATTGTACTCACGGGCTAATGGGACAGAAAAATACTTCTGCATTCTTGGAGGAAACGGGATGTTTTTCTATGAGAGAAAATCAACACAGATCAGATTTCAAGTCTTGAGGCGTTAGAATTCAAAGAAAAAAGAATCTTTTCAGAACTCCCTGTGCGCAGCTTAGATTTTAAAGAGACCTCCATTTCATAATCAAGACTTTGTTTTGCAGTGAGCTGGGAAGCTTCCTTAAAATAGGCTGTTCTGTTCCTTGTAATAGCTAGATCTGCACTTTACTCAGTCCTGGCAGTGAAACAAAGGAACAATAGTGATGCACAGATAAGTTGAAAGAAAACAAACCACCTAGAAGCCCACCCTTCACCACGGCCTTCAGCTCTCCAGCCCTAACCAAAATTTCGATAAGGGCTCTAAATACGGGGTAACAGAAGAGTGTGGTAATGACTCAACATTATTAGCAAAAGAAAAGCAACTGGCTGACTTACCACTGGAAATTGCCCTGTACACTTTATCACCGAACCGTTATTGTTCCTCTGCATCAAGTTCCACCCTCACTTTTGGCTAGGGTTTCACTGGTTCCTAAAGAGGCAGCCCTCAGGCTATCAAATGAAAAAAAATGGGAGGAGCCAGGGAAGATGAAGAGCCCACAGAAAAGCTTTCAGACCAACTGAGTTTTTCTTCTTCCAAAAGAATAGGACAGAAAGTAGTCTGACTGGGCAGGCTTGCTTTAGGAGTCAAAGGTCCAGTAAAAATATTTCACTCAGATCAAATAATGTTCAGCAAGTTCGTGTGTTTTCTGTGGACTGAGGGTCTTCAAGATGGTGACGCAAAAGGACACAGCTCCTAGGCTGCTCAAGCCCGGGTCAGAAGGCCACCGGGTGGGGGGAGCTGTGGGCAGCTTAACACCCTGCTTCTCCGCAGAGAGGCTGTGGGACCGGATCACTCCAGGCCTGTTCCAAGTGACAGTCCCCAGTCACACCATCCCCTTAACCGGCTGATCCAGAAAGAAGGGACACCATCTATTGGAAAGGGTCTCGAGGACGTGCAGGAATGGGATAGGAGAGCCTTAAACCATAAGTTTTTCAGTAAGAATGAAACTTTCTTCTCTGAAGTATTTAGATGGAGCAGTTTGCTGAAAAACACAAAATTCCCTAAGAGCTGGGCTGTCAATCAGAAAGACCTGATCAGAAGTAGCAGGACCAGCTTTTGTTTTTGTTATTGAGACCCTGCACAGTACGGATTCTCTAGCAAAGCACTTGCCACCATGAACCCCAACTTCACAAAATCGTTAGTCCCCCACCCATTCCCCCCACTACTTTTTAGCTGATTTCAAAAGCCTAGATGAGTGCTTCTAAAAGGCACAGACACAAAAGACACCTCCACAGGTCCTGTGCCCCTGTGAAGTGCGCCCTTCCCCTGCACTGCTCACTGGGAAACTCCAGGCTGAGCACTGCTCCTGGAGGCTGGCATTCTTGCTCGCTGGCAGACACACTCAGGTGGAGGATGGGTGGCCCTTTGGAAGTCTTTATTGAGCAGCTATATAAACTGATTTTTACAGTTTCTTGCAACCTAAGTCAGGGCAAGTTTTTTTTTTTTTTTTTTTAATCAATATGAATATTCCTACTAAAGAAGACTGAAATTTCTGCTAATGTACAGAAGGGAAAAGACTCTTTTTTCTTTCGGTTGGTTTAGATACTACTGAACCCAGTTTGGAAAATGCATGTGCCGTATGAAGTGTTTTAAGGAAAAGATTTATTCCAGTACTGCTCATAATAAAAAAACATTCTGAGAGAAGCTTGAGCAACTTCAAAGGCAAAACTCAAGAATGAAGAATACTGTAGTACAAATTATGGCCAAAAATACTGTATTTTTAACCAGCAAGATCATTGGGGCATTATTATACAACATTAGGTGTTTTCTTTTTTCTTTTTTTTTTTTTGCAAAACTAGTTCCCGTCCCCAAACAGTAGACAATACATGCATTTGAATGACATTGTAAGAACAGTAAATATGATTTTTTTAAATACTGCAAGTTAAAAATGTTTTCTGACCAAACTCCCTAAATACATGGGTCTAGGAAGGGCTTCCCAGCATGATGATGGGCGAGGAATCCAGCAAGAAGCTGCATTTAGAGAGTTCTTTGAGGAAAAGAAATCCACCAAAAACATGTTTCTGTCAAAGTAACCTGAACAAAGTTACATAGTAATTTTCTATCTTTGTTCCTCAACTTAAAAATATTCTGCCAAATATCATCTTCCCTGTTGCTTTACTGTCTACTATAGTTTCTACAAAAATCGGAATTCCCTTATCCATGTAAGATCCAATTTTACCCAATAGGTATCTTAATAATATGTAAATGTCATTTTCTATCAGTAGGAATCATGTGGGAAAATGAAGATATGTGAGAGCAAAGGGAAGTAAGGAAATGAATATCTGAGCACCTACTATGTGGTAGGTGTGTATGCATACTTGGAACATGATTCTAGAGGCAACAGTGTTATTGAAAGGGCATCAGTAGTTGGGAAGAAGGCAGGAAATGGGTTTTCTTTTAGAAACGAATGACAAGTTGAGACTGTACTAAGTAGCTACTGAACAGCAGGTGTGTGGCTCCAAAAATCTCTAGCTAATCACGTACAACTAGGCCATTTCTTTTCCTAATTTGATGGAACCAAAATGAAATCCCAAAGACATAGTTACCAGGACAGATCTATTAACACTACGTATGCTGGAAATATGTAGAGAGAGATAAACATACAATATTACTCACTTTAATTTTTGTGTGTTTCTAACCAAAGATACATCTTTGGAAGAAAATATTAATGTATACCAAGCACAGCTTATTTGTATCAATTGAGATGTTTTCAATTACCAATTAAGTGGTTTTAAACCCTTATTTAATTTTAAGAAGAGCAGCAATATACATTACAATATTTGGGTACACTTTATTTTTATATGGGTTAACATTCTGCTATATTTCATTTCATTCATTCTTTTTTTAAGAAACTGAAAACAAAGGGAAATTGAAGGTAATTTGAAAGTTATTTCCAACCAATATCTGAGTCTTGCAGTATTTCATTATGCAGCCCTTTCTTCCCATTATTTTAAATTTTTTTTTGCAAATAAGTCATTTTGACCCAAATCCAGCATAAATAGCATTTCACCGATTCCTAACTTAAGACAACTACAATTTACAATCATGTGGCAGTATAAATTTTAAGATTACAGTTCGTACACCTTGACAATCAAGATAGTCTGAAGTACAAAAAGTAAATTGTCCTTTAGCTGAATTACCTTTTTAAAATATTAGACCTGCTAGTGAATCTACAAAAAAAAAAAATACAAGTTTCAGGTGTTCTTCAAATACCTTCTGTGGATGTCATCGGCTAGTAAACAACATAGGCAGGTTCCGAAGAGGATTTTCCCCGCAGTTTATTCGTGACATTCAACAGAGCTCTTTCTATGAAAATGTTTTTAAAAAAACACTAACAACTTTGAGGGGACGCATTTACTTTTGGATGGGTGTGCTATTTCCCTTTGTTTCAGATATGAGGCACAAACTTCTGAATTTAAGCTCTGTAAGGCATAGTACAAACCTCCAATTTACAAATGAGGATTTCTCTGTGGGTTGGAACTGCTGTGTCACGCAAAAAGGGGGAAAATCATCTGTAAACTGGTACACTGCGATGTGTTGAGTGAGTCATGAAATGGCTGCTTGCCTTGGTATGCTGAAGAAAGGTTTTTTGTTTTTGTTTCTGAATAAGACATGCCCAAGTCACCATAAAACTTGCCACAGGCCTCTGTTACCTAGAGCATCGACAGGAGTCCAGTGGTACACGCTTATAACGCTTGCAATCACAATATAATATAAAGCATGAGTAAACTTTGTTTTTATACAAAACTGAAAAGAATCCCTTCCCGCCCCGAGCCCCTTCAATAAAACCCCGAACAAAGAAACAAAAAAGAAAATCCTTTAGCTTTGACTGACTAGTGTGGATACAATTAGGTTTCTAGGCATCACTGCAGCTAGGGTGATCAATGTTTTCCTTTCTCAAGAGAAGGGATCTTGTCATGCACCCTAAGACGAACAGTGAGGCCACGAACCTCAATTCTGCATAGCAATTCCATCCCAATTTCATAAAGACAAATATAACAATCTTTCCCTGTTTCGCTCAGCTTCTTCTGAGCTTTGAGATCAGGTTTAATCGACTACAATCTACTATAGCTCTATTAAATAGAATATCTTGATTCCCTACAACTGTAACACTTATGATCTTGTGATGAGGTTTTCTCTATACACTGTAGGCCTTCAAATGTTTACTTTTTTTCTTTTTTTTTTTTTTTTTTTGCTGCACCAAATTTAAGATCGCCCTTTCAGGCAAGCAGTGGTCTCTAGCTGTTAAAACATCTCCTTAGTGGGTCACAATAGCTTCTAAAACTGCCTTTCTAATAAAGGCCATCAGAGAGGTAATACTAAACTGTGCATTTGCCAAATAAGAATATGAATTGTATAAAAGCTCATATTCCAATCCTACATCAAATGGCAAAAGTTCTACAAAGTTGGTTTCCATGTTTGTATAAAAGCTCCAGCTGATTTTATGTATTTTGCTATGAAATTACCTTTGGGTCTTATAATCAGTATACCTCTGCTCAGGAATGTGCAAATGGTTTTAGACAGCACGATGCTAGTACCGCTCTGTACGACAGTAAGGTTTTTTTTTTTTCTTCTTTTCTAAATGGAAAAAAATAATATCCCTAGTCAGAAATAAACTGACAAATTTACATTCTCCTCTCTTAAAAAAGTAAATAAAATAACATTATTCAAAATGTGAATTAGCTATAAGACATACAATTACATAGATACATATCAATACAGCACATTCAATCCGCCAAAAAATTAATGATCACAAAGCCAGTATGGATGCTACAATATCAAGAGAGAGATGTATGTACAATGATTAGAGCTTTCATAATTGCACTATACCTACAGGCAGTCTGTTTCTGAATTAAATTACAGGTGCTTCTGAGCAAGGAAAAAAAAGTAACCTGTGTTGTTTGAGGCTGGGAGAGTGAAGAATGAGAACATTTCATTACTGGTTAGTAACTCTGGTAACTCACCTAATAAGCCATTAATCTTCTCCCTCCCCTTTGTTGTTCCAAGAGAGTGATTTATATGGAAGTTTAGACTTGTGCCAAATAGTATTACAGTTAAAACGAGACCAGTGTCATGGCCTAGTTCTAACTTCCCAGCAAGTTTAAAACAAGCCACGGTTTATTTTCTTAAACCATGTTTCAACTAAAGTCGCTTGACAGAAGAGTTCATCAATGTATGTACTGTATTTTTTGCATTTGTTGAAAATTGCACATAGAGAACTCCAAACATCTCTCTCAGTAGGTTCAGTTACATAAATACACGTTTTACAGAACAATGAGAGGTTACTTTTGAGTTAAGTCCACAAATCTTCCTCAAGTTCAACTTAACTAGTCACCAGTATAAAAAGATCTAAAGATGGCAAACTAGAATAGCTTCAGATTTTGCAAACTAAAGTTTCAGAATAATACTATCAATCAATGTTCTTGGCAGACCTACTCAACTTCAAGAATGTAAAGAGAGTAAAACTGGCTTCAAATGAAGAGACACAAGCAAATTCCACGTTGCATCACAGCGGACACTGTCCACACTGCCGATTTGGACACTCGACATGGAACGTGAAGACCGAACAATGTAATTAAGGTCAAAGAAAAGAATGGACCATGAGAATCAGATTTACAGTTACCAACTGTTTGGCAATTGGTGTTTCAGGTTCATTCTCAGCCAATCACTTCAGGCTTCACAGTCTTATTCACCTGCTTGTTAAGATACCGGCCTGTATCTTTGAAGTTCTTCTTATTCTGTTTTACAAAAAGCCAGGTTTGGCAACACATACCCATAATAAAAGTCATCTAAAAATTGTGGCCCAAACACTAAGGAAAAAAGGGAGAAAAAGTCTTAACCAAAAGAAAAAAAATGAAGAGCAACCTATGAAAAAAAGGGCCTGGGTAGCAGCCATTGGGGTAATGTAGTGTCTGTTGGCATCTTTTTTGGCATCTGCAATTTAAAGAACAGAGGGTGGGGAAAAAAGAAAAAGCGAGGAAAGAAGGACTGACAATGGCACGTGGCATTCCAAAAGAAAGGACTCCTTCTGTGTGTCTCCGCCCTCTCCTTACTGACTTCCATACGTTTCTCTGAGCAGCGACCAAGCTAGGGCTGAAGGCAGAAATCCAAAAGGAAGGAACTTAACCATGAGATGGGCTTCCAGCCCAAAGTGAGGCAAGACAATATATTTATATAAAAAGCTCTATGTGTGTATCCAGAGCAATCAATACATTTAAAACCATAGTATTAATACTTATAATCCTTCAGCAAAAACTACAAACTGTTAAGCTGATATTGATGGCTTAAATCGAATGACGTTGTCCTGACAGTTTCATTCGAGAGAAAAACCTGACCAAGAATGGAACTAGGATAAAGGCCATTGTAACCAGGGAAAAATCAGGAGGGAAAAAGGAAATCAGCTTCGTTTTGCTCAATAGAAAAAGAGGGAGAGGGCGGGGAGAGAGAGAGAGTGAGAAAACTCTTTGTGAGTGCATGACTGAGAATTTAAAATACATTGAGTCACGAGATTTTGCCTAAAAAAAAAGAGAGAGAGGAAATGTGCTGGGACTGTACTTCAGCATCCTGTTTTTCCTCTGAATAGTTTAAATAAAATCATAATATTTACTACAAACTCTGTGGACACGCTCACACAGAGTCCAGGACGGCAATAAATTAGTATTATGCAAATTGTTTCCACAGAAATACAGTCCCTCTTGTATAGCTTCAATAGCCCACCAAGGAAGGGAAGGGCGGTGTCGAGGAGGCACAATTAGACCAGATTGTACTCCTTCAGGTTCAACTGGAGGATGGTGTCCTTGACGGCAGCAAAGACAAAGCGGATGTTCTCGGTGTCTGTGGCGCATGTGAAGTGGGAGTAGATGATTTTGTCACTGTCTGGGTTCAGGTCCACGAACATCTTCAGGATGAATTCTCGAGCTGCCTGGGCATCTCTCTGGGGTCCTGTTGGGCAAGGGATGAGAGGAACAGTTTGTTAGTTGATGCATTAATGCATTTGCTCAATAAATGCTTACTGAGCCCATGTCCATGAAGATGACATCTGTATTGCATCTTTTTAAAGTAAGGTACCTGTATCTTTTTTCAATTCCAGTTGACATATAATATTAGACTCAGGTGTGTAACATAGTGATTAGACATTTATATAACTTATGATGTGATCGCTCCAGTAAGTTTAGTACCCACCTGACACCACACACAATTATTACAAAATTGTTGACTATATTCCCAATGCTGTACTTGAGCATCCCTGTGACTATTTTATAACTGGTAATTAAGTACTCTTTGATCTCTTCGCCTTTTTCACCCATCCCCCAATCCACCTCCCATTTGGCAACCATGAGCTTATTTTCTGTATGAGTTTTGTTTGTTTATTGTTTTTTAGATTTCATAGACAAGCAATATCATGTGGTACCTGCCTTTCTCTGTCAGACTTATTTCACTTGGCATAATACCTTCTAGGTCCATCCATGTTGTTGCAAATGGCAAGATTTTGTTCTTTTTTGTGGCTGAGTCACATTCCACTATATATATGAACCACATTGTTATCCACTCATCTACTGATGGACACTTAGGTTGCTTCCACATCTTGGCTATTATAAATAATACTGCAATGAACACGTGGGCGAATATATTTTTCTGAATTAGTGTTTTGGATTTCTTTGGATAAATACCTAGAAGCAGAATTACTGGGTCACATGACAGTTGTTTTTAATATTTTGAGGAGCCTCCTTACTGTTTTCCATAGCGGCTGCACCAATTTATAATCCTACCAACAGTGCATGTTGTCTGTTGATTTATTGATGGTATTCTGACAGGTGTGAGGTGATATCTCACTGTGGTTTTAATTTGCATTTTCCTGGTGGTTAGTGATGTTGAGCACCTTTATTGGCTATCTGTATGTCCTCTTCAGAGAAATGTTTCTTCAGGTCATCTGCCCATTTTTTAATTAGATTGTTTGGGTTTTGGTGTTGTTAGAAGTTCTGCATGCAGATTTGATTGATTACAATCATCTTCCCCCCAAAACAACAAGTACTGACAAGGAAATAGAGAATAAACAGACCCACTGGACTTCATCAAAATTAAAAACCTTGTATATTAAATGACATTATCAAGAAAGTAAAAGTGCAACCTAAAGAATGGGAGAAAATATTTGTAAATCACATATCTGATAAAAGGTTAATATAAAAAATATATCTATAGAATACAGACTTTTCCTGCCCTGGTCGAGTAGCTAAGTTGGTTGGAGCTTCGTCCCAATGCACCAGGGTTGTGGGTGTGATCCTGGTCAGGGCACGCACAAGAATTAACCAGTGAATGCACGAATGGGTAGAACAACAAATAGATGTCTCCCTCTCTCCCACCTCTCATGCACTCCCTTCCTCTCTCTGAAAAATAAGTAAAAATTTAAAAAAAGAATATATATTTCTCCAGAGAAGATATACAAGTGGCCAATAAACACAAGATGCTCAACATCATTAATCACTAGAGGAATGCAAATCAAAACCACAGTGAGATTACTACTTCCCATCTATTAGAATGGCTGTAATAAAAAATGTAGAAGATAACAAGTGTTGGCAAGGATGTGGAGAAACTTGAACTCTTGTGCATTGCTGGTGGGAATGCAAAATGGTACAGCCACTGTAGAAAACAGTTTGGTGGTTCCTCAAAAACCAAACCAAACCAAACCAAACCAAAAACCATACTATTACCACATGACCTGGCAGTTCTATGCCTAGATATAGAAGGGATGGCAAAAGTAGGTTTACAGTTGTTTGTATGGAAAAAATACAGGAATACACTCTGTTTCCCATACTGAAAACTGTAAACCTTCTTTTGCCCCACCCTGTATATCCAAAGGAATTGAAAGCAGGGACTCTTACACATACTTGTACATCACTATTCATTGCCTATTCAGAATAGCCAAAAGGTCCAACAACAGAGGAACGGATAATCACAAGGTAGTATATACATGCAGTGGAGTATTATTCAGCCACAAAAATGAAGTTGATGGATTTCACAACACTCATGACCCCTGAAAACATAAAACCAAGTAAAATAAGCCAAACACAAAAGAACAAAAATAGCATGATTCCACTTACACAAGGTACTTAGAAATGAATTTTTGGTCAATGATTAACAAAGCTGGCCTATTGATTTAAAAAGTGCTATAATTAAAAATGGTATTTTATATATGTAAACAAAATTATTTACTGTCCTTTTTCAATGTATCATGGTTAAGTTACTAATTTCATTGCAGTAATACAAATGTAACTAAAACTAGTAGATCACTAGAGCTGGGAAAATTTCTCATTTTTATCAAAGAACACTGTCTTTCTACCTTGTGAATGAATGAACTTAGATATGATTTTGAACTTACCCCATTTGAAAAAAAGGGTCCACCTATTTTCTTCTTTCTTTTTGTTCTAAAGAATATAAGAACTAGACTCGAGTTCACTAAAGAGCACTTGGAGTGTGTTATGTTTTTAAGTGTAAATTATGCTATTTGAATAAGCATAAACTACAAAGATATCATTAGAGATACCAAAGCAGGAACAGAATTCCACAGTCTCTGAACAATTTTGCAATTCAAATCCATGTGGAAATGATAATTTCCCTCCCTAAAGAGAAATATAGAAATGGCATTCATTATGATTAAGACCTTATAAGTGCAGAAATGTGGAAGTGTGAAATTTACAATACTATAAACATGTTTATTATAAAAACATCACTTCAGAGTGAGTGGCCTGGAGTTTTTTCAGTCTTAGCTCATGTTCCCAGGGCTTTGAGTCTCGGGAAATGACAGCTGCCTCTGCTTTGTGGATAACACAATGTATTTTTGCCACGGCCAAGTCCTATGTGCATTATGTGGTTCTGGGGGAGATTTAAACACCACCTTCAGATTTTAAAACATTCACAATGGGCATATGATAGAAGGAAAATACTCATAGTGATGAGGAATGTGAGGAAAATACAACAAAGGAGATCAGGAAGATGTTGCACAGGGGGAGAGGGAGAGAGAATGAAGTTTTATGTTTTTTGCAAAAAAACACAAGCAGTGTATGATGTGACTACATGTGCTGTGTGGAGCAGCTCAAGGCCCTGGGGGCAGGCTGTGCTGGGTCTACCCTCCACCATCCTGAATGCAAGCCGCCATGACCTCGAACTAGCCCACAGGCGGGTTGGCAGCTACACGGGGGGGCGGCATCACTTCCCATCTTCGAGTCTCACTGAATTCCGAGAAAGATTATGAATCTCTCTTTCCAGGGGTGTGAGGCAAGCACACATGTTTAGGTGTAAGCCAGACGCTTTGTGCCAGTCTTATTTGGGCTGATGTTGTGTTTAAAGAGCTAGCCTGTTGCTGTGAGAGAGCATGTTAACGACACACTTAGTTCCTTTTGCAGTTTCCTCAGGGAGCCTGAGGGATACAGTTTCAGGCATGTATGACTTGGTGGCAGGCTAGTGGCAAATTAAAAGAGGTAAAAGTGAAAACACTGCTGAAGCTAGGAATGTGTTTTTAAGGAAACAGCACTGCATAAAGGAGAATGTACCTGGAGAAGGGATGGGAACACACTGTTAATGAAAACGGCATTATCGCTAATCCCTGATAACACCTGCAACCGTTTCTCCTTTCTATTCGTCAACGTTCAGAATCTTACATGGATTTGGGAAGGGACTTCCAGTTCTTTAAATGTGTACCTCTTCTGAGGGCAGCCCAGGGCCAGAAGCACGGGGGCGGGGGTGAGGGGGGGTGGGCAATGAAAAGATGAGGAAAATGCCATTCCTGATGTGTTTATGTATGCATAGAAAGCTGGGAAGCCAAACTGAATCATCGATTTTTGAAGTAATTACCTTTCTGAGGGAGCTCTCAGAAGTACAGAAACACTGTTCAACTGATATCCATCCCGGATATCATGTTGATGAAGCAATTTTTAAAACACTCTGTTCTCCTCCTATTAAACACCCTCTATAATAGGCACTTTCAGTTTGTGCTCTTCTGTGGTAGGCACTGTGCTAAGTGACTTAATTATATGATTCCATTCGATTCTTTTTTACTTAGGAAGAAAGCAGGCATCACGGCCAGTAAGTGGCAGGGCTGGAACTCGGTGGCGTCAGAGCCTGTCCCCTAACTGCTATTCTAGCTGGACCAAGATTTGGCAAACTTCCTCTGTGAAGGGCCAGAGTAAGTATGTTAGGCATTTGATCTCTGTCCTGACTACGTAATTCTGCTGTTGTAGCATGAAGGCAGCCACATACAGTGCCTAAATGAATGGGTGTGGCTGTTTCAATAAAACTTTATGGGCTAGCGGCTGTGATTTTTTCACCTGTTTTAGAGTGGCTGTGTGTGGCTGCATTTTGTTATCAACTGATCAAGTATTTCTCAGGATGGGCTGGATGTCATGTCCAGCTCAGGATTTTACAGTCTTGGCAAGGCAAGATCTGTTTACAAGAAGGAAATAAATAATGCAAAGCGGAATGAATACTGAAGTGAGTACTATTGATTCTAAATGCCAGAGGAAGAGCTTAAAGTACCTTCCCTAAGGAGGATGGTACTTCATCGGATCACGAAGCCTCTCAAAAGTAAACATTTCACTATGTGTCTGTCAGTCACCATTCTAAAATGTCACACATACGCTATGCATTACAGTCTATAAAATAACCCCTTGAACTTGGTCCTAAGGCCCAGGGGAATTAAGGGACTTTACTGTGGGTCTATATAAAGGGTCTACTCAGAATCAGAGTAGATTGACTTCAGGGTATGGGCTCTTGACCACAGAACTGTGCTCTCTCCAGACAGCGGTGGAGGCAGACCGTGTCCAAATGAAAGGCGAATACAGAGGGAATTATACTGGTTGATACACAACCAGTCAACAATGCTGGTCACTCCTCACTCTCACAGACTTATTTCAAAATATGCAAGAAGTTGTTTTCTTTTCGTGTAAATTGCACATCATTAAAAGAGCAAGCTAAAATCCATCCTTCCTCAGTCACAACAAGCACACTTCTGAGGGCAAGGACAGCAAGGGCGCCCTGTGGAGGGTTAGTTCCTGCGCTGGTCCAGGAAGGAAAACGCCACCCCAGCTCCTGGGCCAGCTGGAGGGCTGACTCACCGTCGTATTCCGGGAAGTAGTCAACTAGGTGGGAATACATGATTTTCTCCTCTAGAAGATCTTTCTTGTTTAAGAACAGAATAACTGAGGAGTTCTGGAACCAGGGGTATGTGATAATTGTTCTAAAGAGTGCTTTGCTTTCCTCCATTCGGTTCTGGGGAAAAAAAAAACAAAAAACAAAACAAGGCATGAATTACTTGATTATTCAACCTGTGAACTATGTTTATTTCGGAAGTCCAGTTCATCTTCTGTATGCATCTGATTTTTGTAGCCTTGGGCTGAGCTGTGGAAACTTTGGTCAGGATTTATGCCCATTGGTTCAGGACATGTACACATATGAGCTGTTTTTATAATGTAAACTCTCAGGTTGATAAGCACAAGAGAATAATAATAAATCTGCTGAGATAACTTCTTCGACCTTAAGAGACAACAATCAAAGCCTAGAAAATCATGCTGTATCTGGAACACTATCATACATTTCACCAAAAAATTATTCGTTCATGAATAAATACTTCCAATCTGAATTAAGAGCTAAATATAATACTAGGTTTCACTTTCGTGTTGCCTAATCTGTATTTAACTCGAGGCATCAGAATTAATTTTATTTTTAAACAGCGAGGACAGTTTAAGGGACGTGGTCTGTGCCCCCACAGGGAGGGACATGGAAGAGTGAAGTGGCCACAGAACCCGAGGACAGGCTGTGGGCAAGCAAGCACAGTGGCCTGGCTGGTCTCCACGCAGTCACCTTGCCTGGGGTAAATGTGGTCTCAGAAAAGTCAGCTCACCCGGACCACGTTTGTTATGGACTGAAAGTGTGTCTCTCCATCTCTCCAAAATTCACAGGTTGAAGTCCTAACGCTCACTGTGATGGTATTAGGAGGTAGACTTCTCAGGAGGTGGGTGGGATGGGTGTCCTTACAGAAATGACTTTGGGGAGCCCCCTCACCTCTTCTGCCACATGAGGACAGAGCAAGAAGACAGACAACTGCCTATGAGCCAGGAAGCAGGCCTTTCTAAGACACCAGAACTGCCTGCACCTTGATCTTGGCCTTCTCAGCTTCCAGAACTGTAAGAAATAAATGTTTGCTGTTTATAATGCACCCAGGCTATGGTATTTTGATACAGCAGCCCAAATGGACAGAGACCATGCTGATCAGGTAACCAACCCGCTTCCCATGGGATAGAACCAGTGAAGGGGGAGAGCACTCAGCTGGGAAGCGCTTACCCAGATCCTTGTTCCCTGGAAGGCATGCTACCTGCTCCCCACTTTGTACCCACAATGGACCATTCAGTGTCTTCTCTTGTCATTTGCAAAATCCCTGTTCAAGCCATCGGTGTGTGTGTGTGTGGCGGGGGGGTAGGCGGGGGGGGGGGCGGCGGAAGAGAGGTCTCATACCTCTAATCTTTACATCTCAAATCCATTCTTGAGATCTCTACAGAAAACACTGCTGAGTGACACAGTCCCCTGCTAACATGACCGAGGCCGCCTGTAGGCCCACATTCCTCAGTTTGGCCTCCAGGGCTGTGCACCACCTGACCCCAGTGCACACCTTCAACCGGAACCCATACACAAATGCTCTCGTCACCATACAACAAACTCAGCAGTGTCACCTTCACACAAGCATGACTGAACTCTCCTGACCTGTAATGCTGTCCTCACTCCTAATCCTTCAAGGCTCAGGTCAACCTGACATCCCCAAGAAATCCTGCTGTGAGCCCCCGATGGGCCGGCTCCCTCCTCACATGCTCCCAGCACACGCTGGCCTTGTCCTGCTGTGCCCGGCACTCAGTAGACACACGCTGAGTGTTTGCTAGAAGCTGCGAGGACATGGTGGGGATGAGGTCTGTGTGCCAGAGGACCTGCAGGGACCAGAGTGGCGATGCGTTAAGTCCAGGCCCACATGAGGGCCAGCAGAAGAGTGGGGGTCACACAGGAAAGGAGGATTTGACTTAAGAACAAATGTAGTTTTGAGGTGAATCTTGATAGAGGGAGAGATTATAAGGAGGAAAGGGATCTGTGAAGAGATCAACCCTGTAAAGAGATCTGTGAAAAGTCTGCGTCCCTATTTCCTCTCAGACACAACTCATTGAAGAACACCTTATAAATCACCTTACTAAAGGTCATTATTATCTTAAAAGACCAAGATTAGTTGCTATTTTAAAATCTAACAACCCACAATAATATAAAGTTTGAAATAACATAAAGTTCAAAATTATTATTTGTAGCTTATCAAACCTTGATACTTTAAAAATTTACATACATCCTTAATATGGATGTTAGTGACTTAGGAATATAGTCCTTCAAATATTTATTTCATTTCCATACTAGGTAAATAAATACAATGACTCAAAAGAAAAATAACTCCAAAGCCTTATGAAAAAACATTTGCAAGCCTGGTCTTCTGCATATGGTTTTCCTCCCTCAGTTATTTAGGAAAAAGCTTGGTGTATTTGACTTTGTCTCTTCATCAGGATCGCATTGTTATGTGTCCTGTCTGATGTCAACACTACCAGAATTCAAAACACATTCAGTGCCAAGATCCTGTTGTTGGATTGAGAGGGGAGAAGGGAAGGGTCAGGGTTGTGAGCTGGAGACTTTGGTCGGAAACAAAGGCTCTGTCTTAAACACTCCGTGTGACCTTGGGCGAGTGACTGAACCTCGGTTTTCTCCTATCCCCAGGGTCAGGGAGGACAGAATGAAATAATGCATGCAAAGCACTCAGCTGTGACCCCAACACACTGGCAGTAGCTTTCACTGGCCGCCACCAGCAGAGCAGGCAAAACGGCTGTGTAAGAACCTCTTGGTTAGGCAACGCTCTTACCTCCAATTTCTGACCTAACTGTAAATCCATTAGAGTCTCTTTCTATTCACTGGAATTGTACAAAGTGAACTTATTCATGATTTCAAGTCCAGATACATCTAATTTATGAGAAACTGGAAAATCATTTAGGTGTCTGACAGTTTCATTTATTCAATACTTGAATGTTTCTTCAAGTATACTAAAAATCTCTAAAAATGTTTAATACTCTTAACCCCAGAGCAAGCTAAGAAAACAACAGTTACAATATATAAATGAAGTCGTGGAATGAGCAATAATTAAAGACATTCCCTAGCCATCCCACCTCTGCTATCCAAATCAGACAATAGAAACAGAAATGAGAAGGACACCAAACTCAGCTGGACAGATATCATTTCCTCCATGATTTACTTAGTCTTTGCAAATCTTTGCAAAGTGATTATTTGAGATCAAATTTGGCACACTCTCTAGGCTTGAAGAGAGCTCCCGAATTATAATTCCTGCCTGTGAGTCTGTGTATTCTACCTGTAGAGGATGTTTAGAGAAACAAAGACATGGAACTGATTTGCCTGTTACCTCCAGCTCTAAGGTTCCTCGGTAATGAGATGAGATCACAGCAGGTCCTTGAACGTGAACTAGCACAAACCAGTGCATGTTGTAGGAGGAGTGGAGGAGGAAAAAGAGGAGGACAGAGAAAGAGACTGGGAAAGGGTCGAGGAGAGGCGGTCACACACCCTCAGGTAAGGAGAGTGGAAAGCCTCCATGTGAGGGACAGAACATGACACATGGGTAACCTCTCTGACGCAGAAACCCACAGTCTTAGAGGTTAGAGCAGACAGGACTGCTTCCTTAAATATCTGCTAGAATTTTAATTTAGTCAAGCAATCAAGTAGCAACCTCTCAAAGACTACTTTACAGCACGCTGATCTTTCTACTTGAAATGAGCCTATTCTCCATCTTGCTAAATTTTATGCTTACATGACAGTGAGCCAAAGCCTATCCCTATGTACATGAACTCCTCCTCTTTGCTCATAACCCTGCTCATGCCTTGAGTATTCACATCATTGACTTTTCAGTTTGCCTACCTTCCCCTTATTTTTTCCCGTACTCTATTCACACCCACTGTTCTGTCACCATCTCGGGCAGTTCCACTGGTGCCCAGGTGGTGATCCCAAGGCCTGCAGGCCGAATCCAGCCCTCCACCTTGTTTCTACCCAGTGGCAGCACTGTCCTCTCGCTTAACTCTTAAGAAGTAGTTACATTTATACAGTCCTAAAATTACATTCGGCCCTTTGAAGGCAACCTCGAGGCTGATGCGGCCCCTGGTGAAAATGAGTTTGACGCCCCTGCACTAGCAGCTCAAGAGAGATCACCACCTGCTTGCTCTGTGACGTGGGATCTCATGCCTAAGAGCAACAGTCCTCCCCTGCCTCTTAACTTGCTCTATCACACTGCAAACTAAAATTGCATGTGCTATCACTTTCATTGTAAAGTGATAGCTTTTCTCCCTCCACGAAATATCTGGACACCAGATTATTTCCCTCAGCTAGTTCACTGGAAATTTCTTCCAGCCTGAATCTCATGAGGACCAATCTCTCCCATATTTGAAGCTCATCTAAATTGATGGCTATAATTTGTTTCCACTGGAGCTAAATGGAAAAGACTGTTACATTTTTACACATAATTAGCCCTAGCTGGGTAGGTCAGTTGGTTGGAATGTTGACCTGTACACAAAACAGATTGTGGGTTCAATCTCCAGTCGAGGCACATGCAGGAGGCACGTGCAGGAGGCACGTGCAGGAGGCAACCAGTCGACATTTCTCTCTCACACTGATGTCTCTCTCTCTCTCTCTCCCTCCCCCTCCCCCCATTCCCCTCCCTCTGTCCTTCCCTCCCTCTCCAAAAATCAATAAACATATCCTGGGGTGAGGATTAAAATTTGTTTTTACACAATTAAGAGGGTTTACCCTCAGAGTTTAGACAGAAGAATAACATTCCAGCCTATCATAAACTGCTCCTGTTCCCAATCGCATAAAATATTTTTGCAACAACCAACCAGATGGCCATGCACTGAGGCAGCATCAAAAGAGCCAAGGACACAAGCAGACAGATCTGCAGAAGGTGGCTGATAACCTCAGTGGGTGGACTCTAATCACAGACCACGATGGACCCATTGGCACTGTGTCAAGAGTCCAAAGACAAAACTTGGTGGAACAGGCATATGTTCCCATGGCACTGAGGCCACTGCTTGTAGAAAAAGCTTATTCGCTGAGGTCCACTTAGTATCTTTCTGCTAGATTTAGCTAGAACCAAACCCAAATTAACTTAAAATGGAAAACAAAGAGGAAAAATACAG